AATTTTCGGCTACTTATTATTTGAAGTAAAAGTACACACTCTGTTCGAATAGTTTTGCAAACATGCTAAATTGATGTCAAGTTATGCTTTAAACATATATTCGTTCAATTTGCTCTATAACATAACGTAAATTGACATGCGACTTCTCACTTGTGACATTATAAAAGACATATATATTGGTATGCGTAAAAAACTTAAAGTTACATAAATAAAAAAATAATACTTGGTATATAAAATATATGTGAGGAATGTAACAACTTTTTAAACTATATTTCAAACATAGGAATAATGGGACGGAACATAAACCTCTACTGGGAGGTGAGTTGTGAAATAGCGTTGCGAAATAACTGCTTCGTTCTATTCGGTTGTTGTTTTGTCCTTTTATTCCTATGTCCATGCTTTGCAAAAACTACAAAGAGAAATATGTTTTACAAATAACGAAATATTTAAACTTAAACAAACAATGTAATACTATTGAAATCACGTTAGTTACTTATTACCTCCCTTATAGAAATATCATACTAAAAATCATTGATAATTACTTTTTTTCAGTATTAAAAATACTGGATAATAAGTAATTATCAATGACTCTTAGTATGATATTTCTATAAGGGTATACCAATCAAAATAGTAATTTTGATTTGTTGTGGACTTTCATGTGTTTCTTGGACATGTTTGTGTCTTTTGGCGAATACAGAAAGAACTTACAAAAATAGCTGTGTAAACATATGTAAAATTCTTCATTTATACTGCATTATCATGTTAATAATCTATCCAAGAAACACACAAAAGTCAGTAAAAAATCAAAGTGTTTTTACTTTGGTTCTTAACGGTTCAATAGACTGTCAAGTTTTGTAACCAAGTTTTATCATGTTAATTAATGTGATGTGAAATACTGATGTCATTTTGACTGTGTTGTGTTCCTTGTGTATTTGTAAAATATAAATTATAAAGTGGTCTGTTTTGAATTAAATTTGCACATAAAAATTACTCACTATTTCCAATTAGAGAAAATATTAATTAAAAATCGTCAATTTGCGGAACGTTTTATCTGACCAGTAGACCTCTAACTTCTTAATGACAATGTCACTAGCCTAGGGTGTCGTTACGGAGATTTAACGACACTGTAACGAAAAATGGTGTTCTGTAATTTTTCTTAACGATAAATATCGTTAAAAGTGTCGATAAAATATCGAATTTTGTCGTTAAGATATCGAGGGGTATGGGACTTCTCGATAAGCAATAACGACAATATAACTAGGTATAACGATGCTCCAAGTAGTAGGAAAGTGTGGCTCTACGTTTGTACATCGGCTCTAGTTGCCGACTACTGGTTCTTTCTTTCCTTAATTTTTGTATTTTTGTATATACCTTCCCACATAGCAGAGATCTCTAAAATATATCATAGGGATATCCTAAAGATATATTTGGGATATATGATATCTTCAAGATATCCGTATAATGTATTTTGGACATTCTTGTTGTGCGAGTTTGATTTATAATCTCGTTATGTCTACAAAAATATTAAAAAAACAATATTAAAAATGTATTAATATAGTCATATATATTTTCAATCTTTTATATATTGATCAAACATAGAGTTATTACACACACACACACACACACACACACACACACACACACACAC